CCCCCCTCTCTTCTTTATTTTAAACAAAGGACATACAATTCACGACTCGGCCGAGGTCGAACAAAATATTCAAAATCGCTGTGGACTCTCTCCAGTGCCATTTCGGATAATCAACCTGTCGCTAAGAACAGCAATTATTCCTCTCCTATGGTACAATTGTGATTGACCAACAAGAATTCAACGAAAGACAAGAGGGGAAGAGAAAAAAAAAAAAAGGCATCCCAAATCAACAAAGCTGTCCCTCCCAAATGCCAAAGCCCTCATGACCATCTCGTCACATCCTGTCAAGGTCATGTTACGCATACGCATACGCATATGCATCCGCAACTGTCCTGATGTTCTCCCGAGTCCCCGTCTTAGCCGCATGATATCCATACCACATAATATACCGTTACCCTAAAGGAACCATAACGGCTCAAACTGATGGAGAAGAAAAAATGGAGGTAGCCTCGTTCGTCATGTTGTTACACGGTTTGAAAGTGAAGATGATGGCACGAGTGGTGGAATGATGATGTGGAGGTGGGGGGAGAAGAGGTGGGCGGTAGCGTATGAGTAATTGTTCAGTTGTCCGAAGAGATTGTGTTTTTTTCTTCTTTTCTTTTTTCATTCCCTTTTCCTTATTCCAGTGGTCGCATGCTAGAGAGCCAACGGGGCGGATAGTCAAGATTGGTTTTTTCGTTCGGGGTTTGGGGTTCGGGATGACGACGTCGGGCAGATAGATATCATGCTTGCATGGCTATTCGCGGCCGGGGAAAACTGGCCAAGGGCGGCGTTGGAGCAGCTCCTAAGCTGGCGGCAGCTTCTGATCGTCAGAAGCAACTTGCTTGCGCTTGTCCTGCTGCTTCTCCCGGCGGGACTCCTCGATGGCGGCGCGATGTTGGATGCTCTCATCGTGGGACTTGAACTCGAAGACGGTGCTGGGCGGGCACTGGAGATAATTCTTCCAGGTTTCGCTGGTGGTGAATTTTGTAAGCACAAGTCATGTCGGCCAGTGATACGACAGGAAAAGAAAAGAAAGGAAGAAAACAAAAACCTACCGAATCCTCAGCACGCGACCGCCAGTGGACCGAGTCCAAATGCTAATGACGTCCTCCCCATTACGGATGCTCACCACGCCGCCGCAAATCTCCTCGCCCACGTCCTGAAAGGCGTCGCCGAGGAGGGCAAAACGCGTGTCCTCCCAGTACCGGTCGGCAATGCCCTTCTTCAGGCGCAGCACCCACTTGCCACCGTTGCGGTTCACCTCGTCCTCCCAGACGGGGCGGATCCCCTTCTTGAAGAAGTGGTACTCCCAGCCGACCGGCAGCTCCGAGGGGTGCTTGAGGTGTCTGAAGCCACGGACGAAATCCTCCAGCGTGCTGCAGTGGACCAGCGGTGTCAGGGACTTGGCGTACTCCTCGAACGGCTGGCCCTTGGGCTGGCAGGGCCGGCACCACGTCACCCACTCGTATTTCAGGGGGTGTGTTCTCGGGCCGGTGTGTGGTGGCCGGGCCACCTCGGAGGAGCCGCGGACGGAGCTGGTTTGCGAGCCCGAATTGGTCTTCGAACCGGTACCGGTCCCCGACGCGATCTCGGCGATGGAGGCCATGGACGGCGCCTTCGCTAGGGAGGAGTCGCCGGGGGCCTTGTCGGAGGAACCGGCCTTGGCAGACGACGACTGGTTCTTCCCCAAGGTCGCTTCGAAGGGGTTCCCCGTGGATTTGGGCGTCTTGCCGGAACCGAAGGAGGCGAATGCACCGGAGCCGAGGCCAAAGGCATTCGAGGCGCTCGCGGTGGGCGACGCCACGCCGGAGCCGCCAGGGGTGGTCACGGTGTTGAAAGGGTTGGATTTTCCGTGGGAGGAGGAGTCGCCTCCGAATCTCTTCGAGAAGGAGCCATTGCGGGTGGAATCGCCGGCCGCCGGCGCAGTAGTCCCGTGGCCGGAGGTCGAGAGGGAAAGCTTGCCCGAGCTGTCGGGGAAGGGTTTAGCGTTCAGTGTCCTTTTCTGTATTTGTATTTGTATTTGTGTTTGTGTGGGGGGGTGTTGGATGTGTGCGCGCGGCTGGGTGTTGTATGTAGACATTGGAACACGAAGTAGACATTGGAAACACGGAAAAGACGTAGACAGCACCGGGAGACCTCCGAGGACGGGAGAAAAGAGGACAGGGCAGGAATTTCTACTCACTTAGTGCGGCGAGTCCATAGGTTGTTCTCCATGGGGACTGTCCTGGAAACGGGGTCGACGATTGATTTCCCAAACTGCGACGACGGCTCCTTCTCTGGTTCGAAGGGCGGCTCCTAGGCGTGTGTGGAGGGGGGAGTTCGATGTCGTGTGTCCTAATCGTAGTCCGTCTTCCAGCGTCTCACAATCGCGCAGTGGTTGCAAAGAGCAAGACGGAGGGGGGTTTTCGAAATCAACTAAGACAACTGTAATGCCCAAGAGAGGGCTGTGGACCTGGGCGAGGAGGGGCAGAAGAAGCAACGAGAACCGGGTAAATTGTCGTGGGTCCTTTCTGGAATGTTGCAAAAGGCCAGGAGAACACGAGCTGTGGTTCGAAGCGGGACGAGAGAGAGAGACGGGGGGTGGCTGGCAAAGGGTGAGATGAGGTCGGGACGGATGCAGGCGATGGTCGAGGTTTTTGGGTTGGGTTAACTGTGGCGAAGATGAGAGTTGAGGGGGGACTGTTGGTTGGCAAATGGTTGAGATAATATGTCCTGAGTTATTGTTGATCAAAATAATGTAGGTAGAATAGAGTGGTTGAGTAACGGAAATTCTCTGGATACACGTGTAGAATGGTTCGAGGGTGAATGGTGGAAGGTGAAAAAGGTGTTTGGGTCAAGACGTTGGATGGAAAAAGTTCAGGTAGGAAAGTACAATGTTACAGTACATCGGTGGTGGCAGTGGCAGGCAGTGGTGGTAGGCAAGGTGGAACTTTTAGGTCAATGGGGCAAAATAACGACTGATTCTATAGGTACTGTACTTCGCAGAAAAAAGGGAAATAAAAAGAAGTACCCACAGTCTTGCCCTGTACACTTGTCAGATGCCACAGCCACCTTATCGGGGTATGACAAACCATATAGTGTTAGACGTGTGGAGTATGGAGTACCTCGGTCCTATATATCCACCCTTATTTCCCCTGCTTTTTCCGTATAGTTAGACATTCCCGTGAAGTATTATAAACTTCACTTAAATAATTCCGCGTATCTTATTTATATTCTAACAGTTATAAGCCCGGCATTCTAATAAACGAAGCTATTCCAATCAATCCTATAGCTTCTAGGCTATTAAAAATCAGCCTTAAGTCTATAGCGGGTAGTTTAGTATTATTAGTAATATCCGCCTGCTTTAGTTTTATTTAATCGTTTTATCGTTTTTATCGTACCACCGTTTAAAGCGTTTAGTATAGTTAATTAACCTTTTCATTTATCCTATTCCACTGCTTTTTATTAGTATAACGATAGCTTCTACAGTAGTAGTGCCTATTATAGACCTTATAACACTTACTGCACCGAAAGACTAAAGGCCTTAGATTAAAGCGGTGATAACTATCACGTACTCCCACGATATCACCGACCTCGTTAATCCCGACCTTAAAGAAGCTAAACGGCCGAAGCGCCGTATTTAAACCGATCCACCTAAACCTCCTACTACCGCAGAAGAACGTAACGCCACTAATTAGGATATACTATTTAAGATCTAGCAGGTGGAAGGGGATCGGTATAAGGCCGAAAAGAGGGGGATTCAAGCACTCTATAACTATATCGCGAAGACGGTTAGCCCTACTTTAAAGGATTAGTACGCCGGCTATAAGGAAGTAAGGGATATATTAAAGGCCCTTAAAACGCACCTTAAGCCGATAAACGCCGCCTAGAAGTCACTAGTTAAAAGACGCTGGGATAAATACCTCTAAAACGTTAGGCGTATACCCTATAAGCGCTGGCTAGAAGACTTTATAAAGCTATACCGCGACGCCGAGATATATAAAGTCCGAGAATATAATACTAAGGAATAATAGATAGATAGCTTCTTTAATGCTATTAGTAACGTAGCACTAGAGTAGTTAGAAGGACGTTTTATATCGCTTATCCGGTTAGAAGAGAAAGACTTACCCTTAATATAATCTATCGTAGAGGAATATACGATATAGCTTTATCGCCGCCACCCGCACCAACTCGATAAGAAGCCCACCGTAGTATTTTTTTATACGGTAACCTTCCTAGGTAAGGATAAAGAAGGTAAGGATTAATGGGCATAATCGGAATAATAGGGTAACTAACCGTCTAACGAATAGAAGAAGGAGTGGTTATACGACTACCGTAATAAGAAGAGGAGTAAATATAACTATAAGCCTCTATAGAAGTGCCTAAACGTTAACGAGGCACGCAGGAAAAAGGGATATATACTTTTAAAAGAGATTTTAGAACGCGTCGACCGTATTATTAAGACCTGGGATAATAAACGTTAAAAGAGATTCCGGGAGAATATCGAAAAGGACGCTAAAAGCCTGAAAACGGGTGCTAAAAAGGACTCTTAGAAGTTATAGCCGAAAGAATCGTCGACGGAGGTATCTAATTTTATCGATAACTAGGATAAGGATTCCGACAAGGATTCCTATAGGATATATTCCCTCCTGTAGATAAATAACGTAACGGTTAGCAGTAACCTCTTTAATTAGCTACTAGTCGACTCCGGCACCTTAAGGTATATTACTAACTAATACCACCTACTATAGGGCTTCGAACCTGCTATAGAAAAGCATCGTTTTTAAATAGGTAGTAAAGAAACTAAGCTAGTTAAGGGTTATAGCAGGATATAATTAGAGGTAGACGACGAATATAGTAATCCCTTCGTTTTAGTGCTAAATCGCGTTACTTTATATAAGACTACCTAATAACCTTAATCGCGATTAGAAGATTAAAGGAATAGGGTATCGTTTTTAATTCCGGCCTTAAAGTGCTAAAGGTAGAGGGCTTAGTAGCCCTATCTCTAAATAACGTTAACGATTGATACGCCCTTATTCTAACGGATCGCTAATAGCACCTACTAAGCAGCTTCTTCAACAGCTCTATAACGCCTACTATAAACATAGCTAACGCTCGTTTATAGTACGAAAGACTAGGGCACGCCGGCGCTACTACCCTCGATAAAATAGGAGATACCCTTATTAGAGGCGTTATTAAAGGACATTAAAAAGGCCCTCTTATAGTAGACTATAAGGCCTATACTCTTAGCAAAGTAAAGAAGGTTATCTTAAGAAAGTCGCCTAACTACTAAACGACGATACCGTGGTATAGGGTAGAGGTTAACCTCTTTAGCCTTAATAAGGCCTATAATGGTATAAAGGTCGTGATGCTTTTATACGATCCCTATACTCGTTAAGCTATTATAAGATTCCTACGTGACTATAAATTAGCCTTACCCACGTTAGTGAATTCCAAGTTCTTCCTTTAGAGGCAGTACCACTATATAATTATAGTAATCTGCCTGGATAGAGAAAGATCCCTTTAGAAAGGCTTCGATAAATAGGCCGATAAAAGAGGGATTTTACTTAAGAGGTTATCGCCACACATAGCCGCGTAGAATCCGAAGGCAGAACGCTACGGCGGCGTTATTTTTACTATCGCGAGAACCCTCGTAACGGCCTCAGGCATCCAATAGGATATATAGCCAGAACTAATAGCTACTATAGTATATCTGTATAACCTTATCTCTCGGAAGAACCTCCAGTAGAAGACTCCTTAAGGGCAGATAGAGGATTAGATTAATAAATAAGGCCTAAAGAAGATCCTAATAATACCTATTATTAGCCACCTAAAAAGATATAGTTATAGGGTATATCCACTAACCACCGACTATTAATAAGGTCGCAACCGTAACGCTAAGCTCGCGGAGAGAGTATATATCGGCTATTTAGTCGGCTATAAGAGCACTAATATATATCGGATTTAGGTGCCGAAATTAGGGAGAATCCTACGCACGAGAGACGTTATTTTCAACGAAAAACTACTATATAAAGATCGTAACCACGAACCTAAGGTGTTAATTAAGGTTTTCGAGCAGCTTAATCTGCCTATAGATTATTAACTCCACGATCCTTTAGATATTACTACTAATATAGTCGATTTACACCCTTAAACGCTACTAGAGCAGAATACTATAAAGGAGGTAATAGCGGAGGCTACTACTATAGCGGCCACTACGGCTATCGCCGCTATTACTGCCGTTACTTCTAGGGGGGTAGATAAAGGTGCAGGTTCAATAACCACTACAGAATCTGCAGAAGAATAATAATAGCAGGAAGATTAACCTAATCAGTAGGCATAGGAGGTATGTGGAATAGGGCAAATAAGCCCTATAACGCCTTCCACGCCTCCGGCGGCACCTGCTTTAATAACGCCTTCTATAATTACACCTATAATTACACTAACGGCACCTGTTTTCCCTCCTCTAATAACTATAAACGGCCCTCCTACACCACTAACCGGAACTACGGATCTACCGCCTATTTTTAAACGGCCTAACGATACCGAAGATTAATCTGACGATACGGCCGTAACCGGCGATACCGTCGAAATAGAATTATTATCCCCTAACTAATCAGTTCTAGAAGAGGAATCAACCACCACTACTACCGCCGTTAATCCGGCATCTATAGCTCCTACTACGGCTAAGTCTCCTTAAACCTCCTCTTCTACTATTATAGCTAACTAACCTGCTCCTATAAGCAGAAGAAACCGTCCTCCTATTATTCCGACGGCCGCCACCGACCTGCCTGCCCGTAGTAGGCGTCTAACCGACCGATATACCCCTCCTTTCTTTTATACCTTTTATAACCAGATTAAGATACCGAAGAAGCCGCTACTACGCCGCGATATACCTAAGGAACCTCTAAACTAGTCTTAAATACTAAAGAGTCCCTATAAATTAGAATAGATTAAGGCCGCCTTATAGGAGGTCGGCACGCTTAGGTTAATAGGCACCTTTAAATGGTGGGAATAGTCCTACTAATAGGGGCACGGCTTGGGACTGCCTGAATTAGTTCTAAGGCCACTAGACCTTAAATAGGTTTTTAAGTATAAGGTCGATCCTACTAGTTACGTTAATAAGTTTAAGGCACGCCTATGCGTTCGAGGGGATTAATAACCTAATAACCACCTTAATGCCTACGCCTCCACCCTCGCTGGAAGGACCTTTAGGTCGCTGATAGGTATTATAGCCCACTTCGATCTCGAGACTCGGTAGCTTAACGCCGTTAACGTATTTACTAATACCCTGCTTAACGAAGAGATTTATATTAAGGACCCTCCTGGTTAGCAGTTACTCTAGTCGGCTACGGGCCTTAAAGCCCACGAATAGCTTGAGGACCTTTTAAAGCAACGCCCTCCTATATAACAAAGAGGGATTTAACGGCTGTGTTGAGTGTTATATAGTCTTCGGCGTTCCCTAAAGCTATAGCACTAATAGCTCTCTTCCGTACTAGGTAAGTACGGTTTAAAGCAATTAACCGAAAACGATTACGTCTTTAAGAATAAGGTCCTAATTACTTTCTTTTACGTTAACGATATTATCCTAATCTACTGTAAGGAATATTAGTCTACTATAAATAACCTAGTAAAATATATATAGTAGAGCTTCCAGATTAGGGATTTAGGACTAATTAAGTGGTTCCTTAGAATCCGCGTAGGACGTGATCGTTAATAATGTAAGCTATAGTTATCGCTTATTAACTATATCACTGATAAGATAAAGGCGTTATAGGTGGATTATGGAGGTCGTAGGGTTAAAAGCCCTCTTCCTTATCCTAACGTTCTAGAACCTGCCGACTAATAAGCCTCTAAGGAATTAATCTATCTATATCTTCGGAAGGTCGGTTCTATTAATTACGCCGCCTGTTAGACCCGACCTAACGTCTCTAAAGCCGCTTCGAGGCTTACCGAATTCAGTATTAATTCTTTAAAATAGTATTATAAAGCTGTCGATAGGTGCCTAAAGTATCTCGGCTCGATAAAGACCCTATACCTCTACTTCGGACCACGTAAGGACCACTAAAAGCCGGCACTCTTCTATACTTCTAACGCCGCCTTCACAGATAACCGTAAGACTAGGTATAGCTCGTAAGGGTATACGACCCTGCTATTCGGGGGTCCTATAGACTAGAAGGTAAATAAGTAAATAAGCGTCGTGACCTCTAGTATTAAAGCCGAGCTTATAGCACTTTCTGCTACTACTAGGCAGTATATCGCGACGAGGCGTTTAATAAAGGACCTAACGTTAACCTTTAAGGAGGAACCACTTATAGTATACTACGATAATTAATAAACTAAGCAGCTACCAGAATCCCCTAGGCTATAGGTTACATCGAAATTAAAGTATCTCGATATTCACGCCCTTTAGATCCGATAAACCGTTTAAAAAGGGACCGTCTCGATTAATTAGATCGCCACCTATAATATAGTTAGCGATAGCCTTATAAAGATACTACCCCCGTAGAAATATAGGGCGTTTATATATCTATTAGGGATAAAGGTCCTAAGCCACGGGGCTTAAAGCAATTTATAAAAGACGCGGTGCCGAGTTTATAATCTATAGCCTAGATTAACCGTGGTTTTAGTGCCCTTTAGATTATTATTTAGGCACCCGTTTTTAAAGTGGTTTTAAGGTTAATTTAACCACCTGTTTTTACACGTTTTTAACGTTTTTAGGCATAAAAGAAGCGCGCTTTTTAATAAGCCGTTCTTTAACCGTTAGATTAATATCTAGGCCACTATTTTACCCTAGATTTACGGCTTTAAATTAAGCAGAACAGTCAGAATTAATCCTATAGTTCTAGGGGGGTGTGTCAGATACTATAGCCACCTTATCGGGGTATGATAAACCATATAGTGTTAGACGTGTGGAGTACCTCGGTCCTATATATCCACCCTTATTTCCCCTGCTTTTTCCGTATAGTTAGACATTCCCGTAAAGTATTATAAACTTCACTTAGATGAATACACACACAATTCCGCGTACCTTATTTATGTTCTGACAACACTTATGGTATAGAGCCCCGATACGGTCATCAACTTATTATCGTTCTATGTAGGTATGTACGCAACCCTTTCTCGGTTGTGTCCGAGGTTTTACGCTTTATAACTATGCTACGATGTACCCCAGTGGCAGCCCTGTACCTGACCACGGGCGGGACTTTCGAGCCGAGTTGTACCCAACGGAAACGACAAAGAGACTCGGCCGAATATTCTGTGACACAAAGAAAGCATCGACTGACCAGAGAATTGAAGCAATGCTGCAGGAAACATAAAAACAAAGCCCTATTATTACTCGCTAGAGAAGTCTGTACGTACGTTTGTACTATAGTCACTGTGTAGGGAGTTTAGACGTGTACCCGTATCCCTATCCATACCCGTACAGAATACATGGTAAAAGTGAGGTCATGTACGGACAGAATGGGGAGTATAAGGTAACCAAAGGCTTGAGGCCCCAATTTCGACGATGGGAAACATACCAGGTACCAGGTATTCTCAGCGCCTCAGGTATAGGTAAGGTAGGTACCGGCGAAGGGAGCAGGAGGTACCCCGCTGGATGGAAACAATATTCGTACCACGTACTCCGCAGCAGAGTCCTCTGTCACACAGTATTGTAGTGAAATTACGAAGTACATACTTACATAATCAACGCGTCTCTGCGCGTTTCCCACTCGGTACCTTGAGGACCTTAAGCTCATCGAACCGCCATCAACATCACCATTCTACCCGCCTTTGTAGCATCTTCATCCTATCAATCTCCAAACTCCGGGAGACCACCGCCACGCCAAGGGTAGCACGGATGCGCTGCCACTCTGGATCTGGTCTTCACTCAGTTATTGTGAGGCGCAAGGCTCCAGGATGGAGAAATTCCTGCGGGATTGGCGCCAGGATGCCCTCAACAAGGCGCAGTACGACGCCGCCATCTTCGTCGGCGACAAGCTCCTCGCCTTGACCAGTCAGTCAAACGGTCCTTCTCAGTCGGGCACATAGATTGTGTTTTGTGCCTTCTGCCTTCTGCCTTCTCTGCTAACGCTAACCTCTCCCCTTGCAGATGACGATAAGGATGCCTTCTGGTTGGCCCAGGTCCATTTCGCAACCGGCAACTATACACGCGCCCAGACCTTTCTCTCCAAACAAGACCTCATCACCCGAAACCCGTCCTGCCGATACCTCGCCGGCCATTGCCTTATCAAGCAGTCAAGGTACGAAGAGGCCCTCAACGTTCTGGGCGATCTTAACCCGGTCGAACTGTACAATTTGAGATGTAAGCGAAAGATGCAACCTAAAGCCGGAAACAACAACAACAACAACAACAACAACAACAACAACAACAACAACAACAACAACAACAACAACAACAACAACAACAACAACAACAACAACAACAGCCACAACAACAACAACGCCGGCTCCTCCCGCGCCAGGGGCTTGTCCACCACAGCCAGGGACAGGCAGCTACGAGACGAAACAGAGGAGCAGGAAGAAGAAGCGCTGAACCGAAAATACGAGGCTGCCATGTGCTACTTGCGCGGCATCTGCTACGCCAAGCAGAACGCCTTTGACCGCGCCAAGGAGTGCTACAAGGATGCCGTCCGCATCGACGTGCAGTGCTTCGAGGCCTTCCACCAGCTCATGGCCAACTCGCTGCTGTCGCCCGACGGGGAGTGGCAGTTCCTCGACTCGCTCGACTTCGACTCCATCCACGTCCCGGCCAGCGTCTCGGCCTCCCAGGAGGCGGCCGAGTTCACCAAGATGCTCTACACCACCCAGCTTTCCAAGTACCGCGACCCCTCGGCTTTCGCCGCCGCCTACGACTCCCTGTCGACCCACTACCGCCTCGCCGACAACCCGGACCTCCTCCTGGCCCGCGCCGACCTCCTCTACACGCAGTGCCGCTACCAGGACGCCCTGGCCATCACCGACTCGATCCTGCAGGACGACAAGTACAACTTTAGCGTCTACCCGCTGCACCTGGCCTGCCTTTTCGAGCTCGGCCGGAAGAACGCGCTCTTCCTGGTGGCCCACGACCTGGCCGACAACCACCCTGGCGAACCGTGCTCGTGGCTGGCCGTCGGCGTCTACTACTTCGCCATCGACAAGATCGCCGAGGCCCGCCGCTACTTCAGCAAGGCCAGCATGATGGACGCGCACTTCGGCCCGGCCTGGATCGGCTTCGCCCACACCTTCGCCGCCGAGGGGGAGCACGACCAGGCCATCTCGGCCTACTCGACCGCCGCGCGGCTCTTCATGGGCACGCACCTGCCGCAGGTCTTCCTGGGCATGCAGAACCACGCGCTCAACAACATGACCCTGGCCGAGGAGTTCCTCAAGACCGCCTACGGCCTGTGCAAGACGGACCCGCTGCTGCTCAACGAGATGGGCGTGGTCAAGTACCACCAGGGCAGGCCGGACGAGGCCGTGCAGTTCTTCGTGCGCGCCCTCGAGATCGCCGACGAGATGGGCGCCGACCCGGACGCCTGGCTCGGCCCGCGGACCAACCTCGCCCACGCCTACCGCCGCCTGCGCCGCCACCGCGAGGCCCTGGCCGAGTTCAACGAGGTGCTCCGCCTCGGCGGCAAGGACGCCGCCATCCTCTGCGCCAAGGGCCTCATCTACCTGGAAGATGGCCAGCCGGAGAAGGCCGTCGTGCCGCTCCACGAGGCCCTGGCCGTCCACCCGCAGGACAGCATCGCGACGGAGCTGCTCAACAAGGCCCTGGAGGAGACGGTGGGCATCGATGTCGCCGCTGCCGCCGACGACGACGAGGAGGAGCTGGAGGCGTTCGAGGGCGAGCTGGAGCTGAGCAAGGCGCGAGCGCGGGACAAGGTCGCTGCGCGGGGGCAACCCGGGAACTGGATGGCCAAGGGGAAGGGTAGGGGTGAGGGCTCGATGGAGACGAGTGGCTATGATTGACCGTTGGCCCGGTTGGGCGGGGGGCGGGGGGAATCGTCACTGCAAACAAATGTAGGGGACGAACGGTACGAAGTCATGTCTTGATGTCTTTTTTCTTCTCTCTTCTCCTCCTCTGTCATCTCCTTTTCCTTTTTCTTTCCCTCTTCCTATTGGTCTCCTTCCTCTACTTCCGTTGCCCCCGCCCCCTTGCCTTGGTCAAGCGAGCATGGAAGCTGGACAGGGGCCGTCCTGGTTATTTTCTCTCGTATATCTCTAGCCGGCGTCTGTGTGTTTTCTTGGGCCAAGGAAAAGCTACGGCTATATTACGCATCACAGGGTGTAGATGGGGAGCGACGCAGAGCACCCGAGGTAATGTTGTCACATTGGCATGGGCATGATCACGGCCGGGGGCGGGGGGAGTATAAAAGGTCTTTTAGGGTAGCATTCATTCCATACCGGTACGGGCAGGGAGGGTTGCATTTGTCCTAATCGTTAGGAGTTGGTAGGAAGCCTGTACGGGCTTGTAGGAGAAACAACAGCACTCGGGATCGACTTGATGTGTTCCTACTCCTTTCGAGGCAGAGGATCCTCGCGTGTGACTTCTACATGATGGTATACAGCCATCGCTTCGCTCGAGGCTAGGTATTGGTCGTATTTACCAAGGCAGAGATGCTCTGTGATGCTACGAAACGAGAGGGCCTCGAGCTCTACAGCTTCCCCTTCCCGGCCACCAGGTCCTCTACCTTGGCGAACTGGTAGTAATAGTCCAGACTCTTGGGGTTGAGAAGCGTTCCGCTCGGCTTGATGATTCGGCCAGACACAATCTGCTTGACGGGCAACTCGACTTTCTTCAAGTTCACCGTCGTCTGTGGCATGAGGGGGGGGCGGGCAAGTTAGTGGTATTTCGTTATTGAGAACTCCTTTACCCTCGGCATGTGAAGACAAAGGAAGAGCCAAACGGAAGAAGAAAAAGGAGAAAAGGAGAAAAGGAGAAAAAAAGAGAAAAACATACCGGAATCTCGGGCGTCTCAAAAATCCACTTGGGCACATGCCTCTTGGTAAGCTCCCTGGCAATAGCTTCCCGCATCTCCGCCACCAACTTGCTATCAAACACATGCCCGGGCCTCATGAGCAAGAAGAGCATGACGCTCTCGTCCTCATCCGCGGGCCTTCGCTGGCCGACACAAAGGCTATCCGCCACGCGGTCGGCAAAGAAGCCCTCCACGACGGCATAGACCTCGGCGCTACCGAACCGCACCCCCGAAGGGTTCAGCACGCCGTCGGCCCTTCCCAGAAACGCCACGCCCCCCGTGGCCGGGTTCACGACGCAAAAGTCGCCGTGGGCCCAGACGTGGCCGAAGCGCGCGAAGTAGGCGGCGTGGTACTTCGACCCCGGGGGCGCGGTGTAGGCCCTCGCCGCGGTGGGCGCGACGGGATCCGTCTGGTCCCCCCAGAGGAAGGCGGGGATGTTGGGGAACGCGGCGGTGGCGACGAGTTCGCCATGTTCGCCGTCGGGGACGGGGCGGCCGGGCCCCCCGTCGTCGGGGCGCTGGGCGTCGTAGATGGCGATGGGGACGCCGAGGGAGGGGCCCTGAGTGCCGCCGACGTAGACGGGGGTGAGGGGGTTCTGGATGCCGAAGCAGCCGGCGATGTCGGTGCCGCCGGAGATGTTGGCGAGGTGGACGCGGGGCGGGAAGCCGACGTCGTAGAACCAGTGGAAGAGCTGGTCGGAGAGCACCATGCCGGTGGAGGTGACGATGCGGAGACTGCTCAAGTCGGCGAGGTCGCGCGGCGCCAGGTTGTTTTTCGCCATCTCGGCCATCCAGCGCGGGCTGGTGCCCAGCTTGGTGACGCGCTGCTCGGCCAGGATGCGGACGAAGGTGGTCAGGTCCGGCTGGAAGGGCGAGCCGTCGTACATGACGGTGCGGGCGCCGAAGAGGAGCTGCGCTACGTTGGCGAGGTACATGATCCACCCTGTCGTGGTGTACTGCAGGCCGACGGAATCGGGCGAGACGTCCTCGTGGAGGCGGCCTTCTTTGAACAGGCTGATGATGATGGTGCCGACGGAGTGGACGATGGCTTTGGGAATCCCGGTCGTCCCGGAGGAATAGTAGACGAGCAACGGGTCGTGGAAGTCGCACTGCTCGAACGGAGGAGGGGGGGTGCACGGGGGAGACGAAGCGAGGAAGTGCTCCCATGTCTCTGCGCGAGGAACGGAGGAGATGTCGTGAGGCTTTGCGAAGCGCTGGATGGAGATGATGCCGTTGAATTGGTCGCAGTCCTTCATGTCTTGGGAGACTGCGGCCATCTTGTCGCGCAAGTCGATGACTTTGCCATTGTAAAGCGCCGCATCGTCGAAAAATATGAACTGAGGGGCGTAATTGGTGAATATTGGATGGGGGGAAGAGAATAATAAAAGAATAAAAAATAAAAAATAAAATTAAAAACTAAAAATATAAAATATAAAATATAAAATATAAAATATAAAATATAAAATATAAAATATAAAATATAAAATATAAAATATAAAATATAAAATATAAAATATAAAATATAAAATATAAAATATAAAATATAAAA